CAGCTTCAAACCCAGGCAACTACTCAGCCCATGAACGATGCGCACGTGTCACTGCCGGGGAAGCCATGCCAATGTCATTCCTGATGCCAAGCGCTCGCCGCAGCTCAGGGGCACTTAAACACGGCCCAGGCTCACTGTGATGAGGACACACCGAACATTTCAAAACACTCACAGATACCTATCCAAGCAGCAGTATTGCAGGAACTCTACAGATATACAACATTACAAAGAAAAATGAATCCCAAATGTATTCATTTTTAGTTGTTCTCTCCAGGCATAAAGCACCCAGTGGTGCAGAGGCTTCCAGGCCGGTGTCTGAAGACAAACAGGTGAAGCACAGCAGCTTCCTTGCCTCTTACACCTTGCTTTCCTATTGACACTGGGACACCTGGCAGATACATCTGAGGTGGTGTCAAACGATCTCAGACAGCCAAGTCCTTCCATTGATTCTGGTCCTGGTCACTGGGAAGCACAACCCCGTGCAGAGGCAGACCATAGCAGATGCTGTTGCAGTGGGATGGAGGGGGGATTTGCAGTATTTACACTCATTTTGTCCCCCAAAAGCACCAGTGAGAAGGAAATCCTCTGTGTGAGCTGCCTGGCTGCTGAACACGTGGCTTTCAAAAAAAAAAAAAAATCAAAGGTTGCCCCTGCAGCTGCTCCTGCCCTTCCTCTTACTTTTTATTGTATTGTATTGTATTTTAATCTGTTTTGAAGAGATGAAAGCTGAGCACTTCCATGGACCTTCTCCCTGTTTTCAGTGGGACCACGTGGCAGGTGAGCACATACTGCACAGGCTGCTCCCTGAGCACCCAGGCCGTGGGTTTGGCACCAACCCCCATGCCCGGGAAACTCCAGGACAGCTGTAACACACCTCAGGATGGCTTTTAACCAGCTTGCTCACGGCTTGGTGGCAGCTGTCCCCTCCTCGTGCAGCTGGCAGGGGACAGACCTGCTGGCTGACCTCAAGCCAGCTTCTCTACTTAAGCACCTGGGAGAAGATGTCCCGGCTGCAATCCCAGGACCTCACTGCCTTTCCCACCCACCCTGACATTATTTCAAAGCAGCCCCAGACCAGAGAGAGGGTGGGAAGGGGAAGGCTGGAGGGATGCGGCGAGTGCCTTCACCTGGCGCAGTGGGAACAGTTGCTTTCCAGCTCTGATGGGAATCCCTTGGGATCACAGCAAGGAAATTCCCAGGGCACAGTTAAGGGACATATATGGCACCTGATAACCCTCATGTCTACCTGTGGTTTCCCCTGGGCAGGAGTAAAGCTGTATCTGCTGGCTGCTGCAGAGCCTGCACTCCGAGATGACTTTTCTCCTGAGGGACAGCAGCCTGGGGAGGACTCATCACATTTTAACTTCCATCAGCTCCATCCCATTAGCTGATCCCCAGCGCCGCTGACAGATGTGCTCTGGGTTTCTGCCCAATGTCTGGGGGGCTTTACCTGGACTGAGTGGGCAGCTGGCTGAGCTGGGATGGGCTAATCAGGACAACGTGCCCCCATGGCAAATGATTTTCACTAACATCATGACAAAGTTTAAAAAAATCACTGTCCTCTCATCCAGTGGTGAGGCAATGCCAGCTCTGTCCTCAGCTGCTTGCACAATGGGGAAAGCAGCTGGATTGCCAGCCCGGGAGGATTCGGGAGGGAGGTGAGGAGGCCAAGGCAGTGCCGTTTGGGCAGGACTGGCAGCGGGGCAGGGAACAGCTGGCACTGCCCGGCACGCTGGCCAGGAAACCCAAAGCAAGCAGGCAGGAGGCGCGGGAGCTGCAAAACAGCCCTGTCCCTTGGGTGCCCTCACAGCAGAGCACGGGATGAGGAAGGTTTGTTGACCATGGCTGACAATCGTCCCCATCCATCCCTGCTCTCCCACCCATCTCCGCAGGGCACATCACCGGCCCGGCACACATCGGCACTGCCACGCTGCCGGTAGCCTCCTGCCCACGCACCCCCAGAGCTCAGCACGTGCCTGGGATTCCTGCGGTGCAAGTGGCCGAGGCAGCTTCCAGCGCTTGGCCTTGTTTTCCTCAGGATTTATATCCCTAAAGAGCCTTTTATGGTGCCAAAGAGTGAAATCTGTTCTTCTCCCGACATTTCACCCCCAGGCAGCGGAAGGCTGGATATGATGGTACTTTAGCTCTGCAAGGAGCTCCCTTAGTGCCAGAAGCAAACGAAACTCAAACATCCAACAACTCACACACCAGCACGGGTACGCGGAGGTAGTCGGGCCCCTGCACAGCCCAGCTGCTGTGTCCTGCTAATTAGTTCCTAGCAATAATCTTACACACAGATACGTCACATCTTCCCCTAAAAAAGGATTCATGTAGCCTCAAAGACATCTCCTTGGGTAAGGAACGCACAGCCATCCGAGGAGAAATACAAAAGCTCCATCTAGAGAACTCCACCTCGCAGTTACATGCTGCGGTGATGCTAAAGATAGTACAGCCCTTTTATAAACCATAATAATCAATTTTCACAATCGGTCTGGAATTACTCTCTGTCCTGGGTGTGGAAACCGAGGCAAGGTTCAGGGACAAAGAGAAAGTTGTTGGCAGAGCTGGGATTTAACCTAAGGACCCTTTCGAGGCAAAATTATCTATATTTACTCCCGACCCCAAAGCTGAGCTGAAAGGAGGAGGAAGGAGGGCGCGAGCCAGATTTTAAAAAGGCAGCAGGTAGAGAGAGCAGCTCTGCCCAGAGCAGCATACGCCGGGAATAAATGCTGATGGAAATGGTGAGTGATAGTTTACAGGATGGAGGAGCCCGAGTTCTCCTCCTTGCAGCGGGTCCAGTTGAGCCGCAGGCAGCACTGCCGGAAGGGGCCCGGGGCACCGTGCTGCCAGGGAAAACGACCCCTTCCCTGCCGCAACAGCAGCACGATCCCAGGGTCTGCTAGGGGAGGACTCCCTGGAGGAAACCGGCTTTAACGTCTTATTTCCTCCAGCTCCGAGGTTTCCTTAATAGGAAATTATTCCCTAGCTGCGCTGGGGAGGGACGCGATCCCCGTCAGGGCAGCGAGCGCATTCCAGCCCTGATGGAAACACTGCAGAGCCACTTTTGATCCAAAGCGTAAATAGTGTATAATGAAAAGAGGCTTGTGTAAACCCGCCGAGCTCTCGGGGAGCAGCTTTTGCAACTCCAGCCTCCTTATTCACAGGTGCCCAGCGCTGTGGCCGCACATTTCACTCGGGCACAGAGAAGCCAGTGTCGGGCTGCGCCTGCCCTTTTCTGGTGGGCCCCATGCCACCCCAGCCTCTTATTTTTACCCTCGCTGCCCTGCACGGAGTTTCACTTGCAATCCCGCCCGTTTTTCTTTGCCAGTCTCCGAGGCAACTGAGTTTTGCTAAAACAATCACAGTCCCCGCAAACCTTTGTAGTCGAAATGGCTGCTGGAGAGTAAAGTTGGGGTTTCTCAGAGGGGAGGGATGGGGTCTGGGAACAGGTGCCCTCCCCACCACAGTTATTTGCCATCTCTGCTCGGTAATGAAGTAACTTTGATAATTAAACAGCACTAAATGAGCAAGGCAGGACAGTCACGGAGTCCTGAGCGAAGCCTGCGCGGGGTCAGGGTTGGATGGCAAGCCAAGGTGAAACCTCGAGGTTTGTCACAACCATATTTCCCTGAGG